CATAATACATAATAATAATAATAACAGTAGTATGAAATAATATAATATATAGTATATCTGCATTATGAGTACATTTTCTATTCGTACTTTCAGTATATATAGCCAATAATACTCTTACTCAAGAAATATTTCAATGCAGTTCTTTACTTGTAATGAGGTATTTTCGGTGTTACTTTTAAATTATCTAAATACTTCTTCAACAACTGGTAATTTCCAATTTGCTAACTTGCTAAGGACCCAATTTAGAATAGAAAGAAATATATATATATAACACGGTAAACACATCCGACTCAGCACTTGATAAAATAGCTCAACATTCATTCTTCAAATTACAAAATATTATGCCAATAAGGTTTTGTTAAACGTCCTGCCATAAGCTACGTTAGCATAATCTGATATTTCATTCTAAACAGCTTGAATACTACTTACTATGAAACACACATTTCTCCATGTTTGCATATATAAGTAAAACAACGTCATACATTTACAGGATTGGCAGTAAAGTTGAATATATGATTTGCCCCTTTAAAACTATCATATGTGGAAAGTCATGCTACAAGGACGTTGGTTGATCGCCTTTGATGACAGATGTATAGCAAGCAGTTTACACAATAGCAAAGTCTTTACTAGCTAAGACTTTTCCTAAGTTTTAGTGCAAACCGATTTAGAAGTCTTAGCAAGGACTTTATACACAAACTTAAAGGATGTACAAATACTGTAGCTGGTGCAGCCCAATCCTAGTTAAGCTGAAGGAAAGCTGAAACAGTCTTCAGATAAAAATGACCCACTGACCAGACGGAGAGATCACATCTCTGTCAGCCAGCAAATGAGTCAACACAGTTGCTGTGTGATAGCACATACTGTTAGCCATTTCAGAGAGGCCACAGTGTTTGTAGTCCGTACACAAACGTAGCCATGAAAGCTGGAACAGTTGATCCCCCATCAACCCCGGTCCCGGTGTGTTAGTGAACACAGATCCTATTAAATACTGTAGCTGCTGCATTCAGTAGAAGACGTGGAAAACACACATGCACCAACCTCCATCTGCTATGGTCAGCTTTGGCACAGAGTCAGCAAGCCTCTCCAAACGGTGGAGCTTACTTTGTGTGTGTTTGTGTGTGTTAAACGTACAAGGCTGCAGAAGAAATTGAGAGAGAAAAGAGAAACAGAAGGAGATAGATGAGGCAGGGAGGGAAGTCAGGCAAAGAAGGCGAAAAAAAAAGGGCGAAGAAGAAACGAGAACAGCCATCCGCAACAAATGTGCTGCAAGGCTTTCGTATCAGGGTGACAGGTGCATTATCATAGGTTAATGAGAAGCCTAGTGCTGCCTGTAGCTTCAATCAGGGTAGCACTGCCTCCACTACCACCTCCATCAATCAGATCAGACATAAACTCCTACTCAAGCACCAAGCACACACACACACACACACACACACACACTCACAAGTACACATAGGTATATGCAGTATACAGTCACATACAGTGTAAGTACAAACATACAATCAACCTCAAGTAGGCTATTCAGTGCACGGATAAATCAATAAAGCTTGTGGGTTACACTGATACAACAATATTGTGGCCGCAATTTGGTACAAAAGATTACAGTGTGATTATGAGGTATTATGGACACAATGAGAGATAATTAGCACCTCAAGCACAGCCCTCAGGTGTGATCATCAAAAAGATGTTAACTACAGCTGGTACTGCAGTGGTCTCTGTAGAAACAGACAGTGGTGCACTCAGATCCTTTGCTTAAAGCCCCTGAAAGAATTGTCTTCTCAATCAGACTCTTATTATTGATTACAGCTTCCTGCACAAGTTTATTATTACTAGCTTGTATACTGTTGGTTGTTGCTTCGTATTTAAACTGAAAAGAAAGCTGAGATAAACGTAGTGTGGAGTAAAAAGTACAATATTAATTTTTCAAATATTCAAGTTCCTTATCACTGCACTGAAACTATTTTCGCAAACTCCTATTGCTGATGTTTACCAGTGTTTGGCAAAGTATTGGAGCTGCACCAGAGTGATTTCAGAGGTCTTTACTCTCAGAGGGCCAAAGAGGCCACATGGAGAGGAGAGCTTGCTCTTATCACGCTGGATTAGCGCCCACAAGAGGAATAAGAGAGGGAGGGAGAGGTATGAAGAGGAAGAGAGAAGAAAGGAAGGTGGCTCTGAGTGAGTCAGTATATCATTCTTCTCTGGTGCTGGATTCTACAAGCCGCTGGGCAGGAAATGAGGCGGAGGACACCCACTGACCTGCAGCCACTTGCCACCTCTCATCCTATCAGAGAAACAATTTAAACAGCTAATGGAACTAGGCTGATCCTCTTTCCATCTCATACAGGGGCTCTGTGACTCATACTGCTCATTTCTGATTAGAGCTCCTCAGGCTTAAAAGTAATCTGCACCAGACAGGGGATAGACACAGCTAGTTATGTTATTATACTATCTATCAGACGGATATGTGTAAGTGGAGTGCACACAGTTTGTTTACATATGATCCCTGACATAGATTAAAAACAGGAAAGCCAGTGAGGGTCTGTGCAGGAGGAAGGGACCAGGCAGATGGGTCAGTCTGCAGGTGGAGGTGGGGTCCATTGTGGGGTGACTGAGGGGCATGTCGGGGTACTGCCTGAACATGACACAATGTGAACAGGATGCTGGGAGGAAGAGCACAGCGGGCAGTGGGGCAGCCGCAGGAGGCCCACCAACATCATCTGTGCCGGATGAGCACCAATGGAGCGGAGAGCTTACTAAAACCACACACTGATAGGGAGACAAATACAGAGAGAGCATCATGGTAAACATCTCATTTGTATGCGTGTGCTCTGTTCAGTGGCGTTAAATGCAAGTATGCTCCATCGTAAGGAAAGGTTTACCTGCCTATCACACATTCTCAAGAGACACGTTTTTCAGCATATTCATTTAAGTCCAGGTTACTTAGTGCCTAGTGAACACGTGGACTTCACATCTTCATTATTCATCCTTTTATTTCATTTGGTCTCAGTGGGATCATCATCTGTCCCACTTCCTCTGCCATGGACTCACTGACTGACAGTTATGTGGAAAAAAAACAGAGGAAGCTTTCCTTCCTCGTTGTGTTTGGCCCAGACAATGTGTGTGTGTGTGGTGTGATCTGATGAGCCCAGCAGCAGCAGCAGCAGCAGCAGCAGCAGCAGCAGTAGTACACTAACCTGCCTATTGGCCGCGCTTAGATTTCCAAAGCCTGCACCCAAAGAAAAAAATCTGTATCATGCACACTAGGACTGCAACAGTTTTTTTCATTGTCATGTAAACTGGTGATATGTTTTTTGAGTGATTCATTAAGGCTGCAACTAACTGTTTTTATTATCTTGCCTAATTGATAGTTGATAGTTTTGTCCATAAAATGTCAGAAAATAGTGAAAATCACGGTATCTTAGAGTCCAAGGTGACATCCTCAAATGTTTTTTTTTTTGTCCAACAGTCGAATATCCAAACATATTTAGTTTACTGTCGTGTATGCCAACATTCGAGAAACAGGCAAGTGCAAATGCTGCTTTAAAAAAACCCCAATTATTCAATTATGTGTATGATGTACTGATCGATTAATTGTTGCAGCTCTATAATCAATAGTACCCATCACAATTTCCCAGAGCCCAAAGTGACGTCTTCAGATTGCTTATTTTGTTCTACCATCAATCCAGACTCAAATGTATTCACTTTCCTCTGATATGAAACAGGAAACAGCAACAACTCCTCCTCAAAGGAGCTGGAACCAGTGAATGATTGACATATTTGCTTGGTAGAAGCCTTAATTTAACAATTAATTGAATATCAAAATTGTTGATGAATTTGACTTACTAAGTGACTTCAGCAATGATGTGCACATTTTCAGTGGTGAATCAATGATACAGTAAAACTGGAGCCGACTTATCCAGAAACAGAAACAACTTTCTCTCCTAAATCAACAAAAAAATATTTCTGTTACCTTTTTGCAGCTATTTCATTGTTTCATGATATAACTGGAGGGTCATATTGTCAGTGTTGTTGACTATACTAAACTGTGACTTGACTATGATGTCAACAGGATGTAATCAGTTTTGTGCCAATATAAACCATGTCCTTTGTCATGTTGGCCTGATGAAGATCCTGTAGAGTAGAAATGTTTCCTGCGTTTAGCCCCGAGCTTTGATCCAGTTTGAGGATACTCTCTCTTTCTTCCTTCTTGTAGGCCACAGTTGTTGTTCTTGAGTCGATGTTTGGTGCTTGAAGCACACAGCATGGCCGGAGCTCCCTGATGAGATGTGGCTCTGTTGAGTTACTTGAAAACAATCTCCCGAGAGAGCACTAAGCTGTACTCACTTTATACTGAGGTTAAGTGTCTCGGACGATCGTGGATTAGAGCAGAAAGGTCCGTGCTGTGATTATGTTGTTTCCGTTTAAAAGCAGTGCCGGTTGAGTCAGTGGTGAAGTATTAGCTTCTGGCATGACATGACATCATGTGGCTCCCTTTCCTTGATAAGACTCATTGCACTTAAATCTTACGAGAGGAGCTCTTTTGTATTTACTGCAGAGAAAATATCAGAGGGAAGTAAATGGATGTGGAGCTCTTTGTTCTGCTCAGCCACAGGGTAGTCAGAGTAAATTAACAAGAAAATACAAAGACAAAAAAAAAGAGAAAGAGATGAATTACCTTAGAGGTGCAGAACTGGGAAGGTGGTGAAATAAGTAATTTCTTTAGAATCTGCATGAAGCCCATAATTAAACCTGCAGCTTCTATAAATCAGGGTTTTAAAACACAATTAATCCACTGATGAAGAATTTTGCTGTTCTTGTCCAAAATGTGTTTCTGTCTGAGCCTGTGACACTGTGGATATATACTGCCATCATCTGGTTGCTTTAGGTATAACACCTTACAACTGACCAAGGGAAAGATCAAACACCTACTTTACATATCAGTCTAGGTTCTTACAACAGTTCAACTAAGTTTTCAAAAAACAAAAAAAGTGTTCAACAGATCCTAGTGGGTTCAGGTTTATTAACAGTTCTCAATAAAAAAGACATATTTTTTGCTTTTAAACATGGTATAAAGGTCAACAAATATTTTTCAAAATCATTCTTTTTTGTAAAAGTGTAAAAATATCTTAAACACACGGTAAAAAAAAAAAAAAAGCCTTCATCTCTCATAAAGTTAAATTAATCTTTCAATTTGGCAGGTCAGAAAATTGAGGGTGAGTGTAATTCTGACAGACACAACAGTTTCCTCCCTGTTATGTAATTCAGTATGATGAACATGATACATGATTTGAAATGACTCATGTGAGATGGCATGAAAATCTACCAACCACATAAAAGTGCAATCTATCAACTAAATGAATAATGAATTCATCCATAATAGTGGGTTTGAAGTGACGTGGAAGGACTGAAATGACGAGATGGATAAGTGGGATGAGGAAACTCAAAGTGACATTTTTGTAAAAACATTTTTAGCAAAGATAGCACGAGTTAATGAACGGACATTTTCTGGTCATAACGGCCTCTGAAATATGCAATCTCTGCTAGCTTTCAACGTTTTCTCTGCTCTTGTTACCAATAACATAGACTGGCCAAAATGACTTATGGGAAAGCAAATCATGCAGAAAAGGGGAAATGCATTGTGGTCACACAGATGCGGTTTTCATAGGTTACTGCTACGATGCTAAAAACACATTCAGGGGAGGCGCTATGGTAGTGTTGTCTGTTCACAAACTCATGCTACGCTAAAGAAATGAAAACATAGCTTCAATAGAGTCACTGTAAAGGGTTCCAATTTCTCTGATTCAGACCTAAATAGTGCTGACAAGCTGCTGTAGTAGCCACATTCTGTACATTATAAACAATAGACAGGAAACAAAGAACAATGGGACTCTTAAAACAATGCATGTGGGTGATAGCCTTCACATATAAAATGCTGACCAAGCACTAAAGTGCCATAATCCCTTACCGATGTCATATGTACAGTTGTAAAAAAAAAAAAAAAAAAAAAAGAGATGACATAAGAATATAAAAAAGAACAAAAAGAAATAAAATACTCACTCAACACATCATACACACACTTACTTCATGCAAAACTAGTAATTTTGGAAAATACTGGCTATCAGTCAGACACACCCGAGCGAAAGAAAGAGACGTGATTTAAAGACAAGGATAGCAGGATGGAGGAGGCGGCGGCGGTGGTGGGTGTAAACGGAGGTTAATATCAGGGCTACTGGGTACAGGAAACTGATGAAAGAAGCCAAAACCTTCACCGCAGCAGCCCTGCCCTGGCTCAGCCCTGGGCCTCTCCTCCACCCTCTGTACCAAAAATACCAGCTGCAGGATCACTCCATCCTTGAGTGTCTACCACGCACCCACCCACACCCTCCCGTCTCCCTCTCGACTCCATGCCCCAGAGTCAGGAGATGCTCCGGCTCTCAGCTCACCAAATGTCACAAAAGTGCTCTCTCTACTACTATGTTAAGCGCTTCATTGAGGTCAGCCAAGTAAAACAAAACAACACATAAATGAACATTTGCATAGTATCAAACAGTGGAATTCTCAGGCTTCTGCCAAAAAAACACAACCAAAACATCGGAAATGTCTCCTTAAGAAAACACAAAATAATAAGAAAACTATGGTAACTTGAGGAATTGAGTCCAACAAGTGTGTCAAGCTTGATTGAGAGGTGTGTGTGTTTATGTGTGTTTATGTGTGTGGGGGACATGTGGGGCGTGAGAAATTTGCACAGCTGTCAAGGCAGGAGAAGCTCAAATGGTGGAGACAGCTGTCTCAATTTGTGTGTGTGTGTGTTCATAAGAATGTGAGACAAGGAGAGGAGAGAGGGAGGAAAAGAGTCCATCCATCTGTGTGTGGTGTGAAGCTGGCTCTGTCTTCAGCTCAGTACTTCGGTACTTTGGTATAATCCTCCTGGACGACACTCTTGCACAGACACATGGAGAGGATCATCCCAAGGAGCTGGAGGAAATGGGAGTTGTCAGCTTAGTTATCAGAGTTGGAGTGGAGCACTCACTCAGACATACAGCTGTCGAAGCCAAATATTTAAAACACATATACAACAGCAGCTAGGTTTTCATCCAAATCTAGGGCAATTCTTACCCAATTTGCAGAAAACTGCCAAAAGAAATGTGAATTAGTATGTGTTTCTATCTACTGGAGGAATGTTTCCATTGGACCTCACACTTATATCAATTCACTTTTTTGTCCCACCTCCTGTCCATACTGGCAAAAAAAATCCATCCCTTCCTAACATGACTTCATGGTTAAGGATGGGGTACATCACACTCCTTGCTGCGTGTATAATTACTTTCTCTCTACACCTAGCTGGTATTTTGAAGGTTTACTGTCGCTATTTTGTCCTAGAAACAAATCTACTATAAGATAAACCTTCATCAAGTCTCATACTAGCTTTGGCTAAACTATGCATTTTAAATGTGGGTTGAGTCCCCCATCTTTTACAATGGAGTTGCGTCAAAGAAGTATTGATCCATGTCCAGTATGAACAGGAAGAACAGTGACCAAACTGTACAAGGCATCGCATAAGAGTATGGTATTAAAACTCAGAAATCATCCTTAAGACTGGGGAGAAGATAAATACCTCCACGACAGCCACACCGACACAAATTCCCAGAATAACTGCACAGTTGTCCAGGAGCCATTTCTCCACGCTGGCCATACAACCCTAGACGAGAACAAGAGAGAGAGGAGGAGAGAGGTAAAGACAGACATTAAAAGGGGGGGTTGCAGGCAGACATGCAGTTGAATGGCTACGTAATCCCAGCCGGACATGAACAGAGCCTATTCAAAACACAACTGTTGGCTTTGGTCTGAGTCAGTGAGGGGAAGAATAACACAGCTTAGCTGAACTGTGGAAAACTGTAGAGAGGGAGAGTACAGTTTCTGAAACACTCAGACCAAACAACAGAACAATGGAGCTTTCCTGGTGTTTGAACAAATCACACAGCACAAACAACAAGCCTCAGCTGTCAGTGTTCACTATGCTGATTAAGTACGACCACAGTGCCACACTGAGCTGGCAGAGTTACACAACATGAGTTAAAGCGACTTACATAATGAGTAAAGGTGTAAGGTCTATCAGAGCAAGGCAAGCGTATCGCAGCACTGTGCACCGAGCTGAAGTAACTCTGACCAGGGTTCAGACCTCGGTCTGTTAGCGTTTACGTAAACCTCAGTGGGGCTGGGTGGCCTTTATTACAGATGACAGTTCACATTGTGTCAGTTGAGTTGCCAACGTGACATGAGTCAAATGCAACTAAATACATTTACCCAATTACTATACCTAAGAACAAGTACTTTACTTGAGTAGTTAGATTTTAGTTTAGTTTTCAATTCATGATCTTATATGTGCATATATAATATATGCATCGTTAACTAACCAACAGTATAAAAAGTTGGTCAAACCTGCTGTCCCTTGATAACATAAAAATTATTATTTTCACTTTAATGAATCAGTAATAATATTCCAGTGATATATAATACATTTAACACTGAATGGAGTCATTTTGCGTTATGAGTACTTTTACTTTTGATACTTCAGGTACACTGTGTAACATTAAGGAGGATCTATTAGCAGAAATGGAATATAATACTCATTGGTATGTCGGTCAACACAGACAATTGCAGCTTCTGCGATTTGCATATTGCACCTGGCTGTATTGTGATTGCCTTTGTGGTATTACTTAGAGATGCTATGAATGAAGGAAAAAAGCTGAACTGAGTGATATCCAACATGTCTGGGTAGTGAATGAATCATGGCTGATCATCAACCAAAATTAAAGTACTGACAACAAGAGTCAAAATCTGCATATAGCAAAAGTCCCTTTCAAAAAGAAAAGCAGAGGCATTTAGCAGAATCAAGTTGCAGCTGCTCTACACAGCAGTTTCACACATTGCCTGACTGACTAAGTGACCACAAAAATTAGGAACTAAAGAGGCACAGTTTGAATGATTTTACAACCAATCACAATATTGTTCTACTCTATATCAAAGATGTATTAACATTTACTGTTTGAGTAATGTGTGCCATGCCAGCCTTGATACCTGATACTGAACTGAGATGGAAAATTGGATAAAAAGCTGCTGGCTTCATCAGTAAATTCACGATTATTATTTTTAATATGTTTTTTAACCTTAGTGCAGAAACAGCAGATTTTAGTGTTACGTACCGTTTTATAGATGGGTGGTGTTTCTGTGGACAGTGTCTCACACAGGCCGACGTCCTTGATGTCCGTGCCAGGAATGGACTCATTGCGACAAGAGCATGGGTAGAGGTTTGAGGAGTTCCTGATCACAATGTTCTCAGACCAGTTGCCCGGACCAGTCCATCCACAGCACTTCATCTGGTAATATGAAAGAGAGAGAAGATGGGAGTCAAAAGATTAGGACATAAAGAGAAATTAACTGTAAAATAAATAATATGAAGAAAACTACAATATAAGCATTTCTATTGTGGTGTTGGAGACCAATCTCTTCCTGGCTGCTGTTTTCTTTAGAAAGATCAGGGGGAAAGAGGCTTGGCAGGAAAAAGAAAGAAAGGAGTAAACAGATAGTGAAGACAATGCTTAACTTAATCAGAGCATAGAACAATCTGACTTCAGCTTGCTTCAGATCTGTTTTTATTATAGGCTGATTAGTTTAATCAGTTAGTTTATCCAAAATACTGTATGAAAAAACTAAACATATTTACTCATTTAGCTTTTCAATTATTTAAATGTAATTTTCCAATTGTTTTAGCTCCCTGAACTAAATTACAATCACATTCCTGCTATTTTTGTGATGTAACCTTGTAGCATGGCCCTATACATTATGCCAATTTCATATCATATTGCTTAGACCGTAATTATGAGGAAAGTAAAAAAAAAAACAAAGCCTTCACCAGTGGCAGTTAGATCTAAATAAAATCTTAATAATTAATAATATGGTACTCTTCAGTCATTGAAGACCCCCTTGAAAACAAAATGGTACAGCTCCATGGGTTATTCCTAATAAAGAATTTCTATAATATTAACACTGATTATAATAATTGATTAAGCTAGTTTAAAAGGATTACTTGACTACACGGCTAGCAGTGAAGGTAACCATGTGCAAACACTCTGGAGTAAAGGGAAGTTTTCCTGTTCGTCCCATTCTGCCACATTGTGTGGATGCAGCATTACAATGAAAAGAACATGTGACTGGTACTGAAGGTATAAGAGCCCATTTCACACACCCATTCTAAAAAAATATGCACTCATGTTCCTGTAAGAGTCACTTTAGATAACAACTCTGACCAAATGGCATTTGCTAATCCAACATGCTGCTGTTCATATATCTATGTAGCATATATTATTATGACGATAGAGGCAGTGTCATGTTTGTCAAACTTAAGGGGAATACACACAATAATACCACACGAAGTGAACATTTTAATAGTTGATTAAATTAGACTTTTGTGTGTGTCTAGTACAAATCAGGTTGAAGAGTCAACTCACCGTCTTCTGAATGTAGTCCCAGGTGCGCTCTGTGGTCCTGTTCTGGCCAGTGTAGTTGACTATCAAGCCCTTTATGATGTTGGACACCTCATATTTCAACTGGAAATGAGATTAGAATACATTATCAACAATTCAGGGTTTATGTGTCACACAAACACAATACTGAGTTAGTTGATACTACAAATAGCTGTACATAAACTGTTCAGTATCTGTGTGCATGTTTGTTTGTAAGCCACAAAAAGAGCCAACAGACTGGCCACATAGAAATCAATCTTTGATGCAGGGTATTGAGATAGTCTTGAAGAAAAGAAAACAAACACACCCACAATAAATCTTTTTCTAAAATTTACTAGCAACATCTGCACTTAATGTTTCTTAGGGCAACACCTCGGGTGGTATTGCCCTGTGATGTCCCATGCTGGGCTAAAACATCTCACAAATACAGCTTAGTAAGAACATGACTCTGTGTTTATGTGTGTTTGACCACAGAGCGGTCGCAGCGATGTATCTTCAGAGCTCTACAGGAGATGAGTGACTGCCTCACCCTATTCTGGGAAAGGGCACCACCCTGCCTTGTGGTAAGCCTTAAACACAGGGAGTGTGTCTAAGGCTAGAGGCAAACACATGCTCTCAGAAATACACACAAACACACGTGAATACACACATACAGGCCCGAGAGTTATTGTTCGAGAGGTTGGTGTATCCAAACAAAAAACTCCCTTCACGCACGCGCGCGCACACACACACACACACACACACACACACACACACACACACACACACACACACACACACACACACACACACACACACACACACACACACACACACACACACACACACACACACCTATCTCTGTTTGATGGCCCTTTTTTGTATTTTGAAATAATGGATGTATTTTTTGAAATCTCACTGTAATTGTTTTTTTCTTCTAAGGTTTGGTTTCATATGTATTCTCTATTTTATTGTTCTTGTTTTAGGTGCATCACTTGTGATCTGACTTTTAACTTGGCAAGTAGGGTCCTGAGTAAAAGTGTCTTCTTGAAATGTGTGTTATCGGTAGTGTCAGTTAACATATTTCCTGTTTAGAAGACGATGCACTTTTTTGTTTTGTGTTGGATAATTTGTGGAGCACAAGAAACAACATGTGGTTTGTTGTGACTTGTTTTCTAAGAAGCTGATTATTAAGGACTAACATTTTTATTTATCTGTCTATCAAACGCTGTTAACATTACATTAGACATTAGACATTAGACAACATACTATTTTTCAAAATAGGCTGAGAAGACTGAAACATATTCAATCCACTCTGTTGAGTGGTTTCTCTCCCTGGGGTGATAATAACTGTCTCGGGAAAGGGTTAGGTATACCAATTTTATGTCAGCATATCTTAGCTTTAGCAACACCCGTCGTGAATTTGTTTGCCCTCTCCCTCCAACACAAAAATTCCCACAGGGGAAACTGAGACAACAATGGAAACATTTAGTTTAAGTATATGCTTTCCACTTCCTCTTTGGTTGTCACACATCTCCCTCAGTCCACCTGCTTCATTTTACTGTCTACCAGCACCCAACGTCACAAACTGACATCCTGTCACTTTCCATTTGCTAATGTACGAAACTGGGTTTCATCACAGGATGCAGGGGGCTCCCTAACAGGTTTAGCCAGCAGGTGTGAAAGAGTAATGGCACAATACCCAGTATGCCACAGTTGTACCAGCGGGAGGAAGAGTGGTGGGAGGAGAGGGTTAAAGGGCAAAAATGGAAAGGAACTAAGAGGACTAACAAAACGTACTGTAGAGACAAATTATAAAGAGGTGAAATTAAGAAAAAGGAAAAGTAGATTGATTAAGTATTAAGTATTGGATCTAGTATCTTACCCGATCTCTTTGGAAGTAAATGAGAACTCCAGCGGTGACCTGGGCAATGAGGATCAGCAGGAGGCAGGTGAAATACTGTAGGGGATAATAGGACATTTTATTATAACAACATTTGTAATCAAAACTTTCCAAACACTGACAGCTAATCAATTATTTCCTTCAACAAATTCTGAAAATGTAAATAATTAAAAAGTAAGCGGCTATAATCGAATATCAAATGACAATGTGAAAACTGTAGTGATGAACCTACAGAGACTTTGCAGCTCCTCTCTGCTTTACAGAACCTTATAGAGAGTTTCAGCAATTTTTGTCCAGTTGTCCAATGCGCAACTTTACTGTCTTGGTTCACTCTCACCGCTCTTACTGTTGTTTTCAATTACACCAGGCAGCTGTTTTCAGCCAAAAAGCTATAGAAACCCACTGTATGCAAACTGGTCAGCACCAAACAGTAGATAGACACAGTTAGTAACTATCTGATGAACATAGTGGTGGAAAAAACAGAGCTAAAAGAGTGAATATTAGATTTAAGTCATCAGGTGGCCAGAAACATGACTTCTCTCTGTCCTAATCAATCTAAAAGGTGATGATGTTAATATTATGTTCACAACTTGTTTCTGCTGCCCACAAATGGCCACAAAATCAGTTAATGCAGGTTTAAAAAGCCTAATTATCTAACAAAACAAGTAGAAAAGAGAAACACAGGTTTTTACCTTTCATTTGAAATCAGTCCTTAATCTGAGGGGTTAGAGTCTTAAACATAATCTCTAAAGCCTTCTGCAAGAATAATGTAAGCCATTAAACATCCTTCCACAGCCTTGTCTATGTAAAGGTGGTGTGTGTGTGTGTGTGTGTGTGTGTGTGTGTGTGTGTGTGTGTGTGTGTGTGAGATGGGGGGTCTTGCCAGCTGGTCACTGTCACTGGGAGAAGTAGGTCATGGCAGTTCTTCAGTTAACCCCTAGCAGGTTTAACGCTGTAGAGGTCATGCACCCATCCCCACTCGTGTTGTACCCCCTACATCTCTCTGGCTTTATCCCTGTCACCCCCCTCCCCTCTGTAAATCCACACATGCTGCGAGCCCCTGGCCCACACATAAGCAGAAATGCGAAAGGGCTTTACTGTCAGCAGGAATCTATCATGTGTTCTTAGCCAAGCTGCTTGAGATCTCAAGCAGGTGCATTTAGGTGAATGTTTCATGAAAAAAGCCTACATGCAAAATGTCTACAATACCTTTAAATATATAGTTGCAGGCCCTGTAGATACAAAAAAATAACAACTTGTGTTTGAGTAGAGAAACACTACTGCGCATTTTATGTCTATTAAAGATTCAACATAAGAGAGATGAGAGGAAATTAAACCATAGCTCTTTGTGTGTGATAATGACTGAACTGTGGTCAGATGTAAGATCTTACTGAAACCAAGCGGTAGCATGTTAAGAGCTTAAAGTGAATGTAAATCCTTACCAGACCCAGCAGACAACGAATTTCATAGATGGCTCCTATGCAGCCAAAGAAGCCCATGGCCATTGACAAGGAACCCACTCCGATGAGGATGTAGGAGGCCACTTTGACTGTGTCTGATGATTCCTCTGGAGAACAGAAACAAAACACAGGAAGAGTTCAACTTACAGAGAACCACTGAAACCTACATGGGCAATACAACTATAGGCCTGCTACAACAGTTTTATAGCAACACTTTGTAGTTCAAATTCAGTTATTGAGTAAAAATAAGCTCATTTTTAAACAAAAAACAAAACCACTTAGCACATGGTTTCTCACAACAGAACAGCAGAAGCAGGGCCTTGTTCTCTGCTCTTGTTTTTCTACTTTAACTACATTGTGTATGCCTGCAAACAAATACAGCTCAGAGGAAGGCCTTGTTCACATGCAAAACCATTTTCATACAGATGGTTACAGAAAGCCCAAAATGATTCACAGCGCAAGCCTTCTACTTCAGAGCATTCTAGTGCTTTTCTCCCACAAAAGATTATTTTAATAGGCCACCAGAGAGAGTTGGAGCAAGACAAGTCAATGTGTGGCGAGATTAATTGATTTCCCTCTTTGGTATGTAGAGCAGGAGAGCTCCAGGAGGAGGAGGAGGGCACAGGGACTGAAATGGAAGATTGGAAGATTGGAGAGGAGATAAACTGGAGCCATTATGTGGCTGTGTGTTATCTAGGGCTGGAGGAGCTCCAGAGAGTCAGAGCTTGGTCTGCAGATGAAGCCAGAAACTGAGCTCTGTGAAATGGCTCCAACTCCTAAAGATTCTTGGGCCAAGAAAACTAGCCAGAGCTATCAGATAACTCACTCCCATCCATTTGGTGAAGAAGCTGACAAACACATCAGCTCCTCCACTGCTGCTCGGTGAATATAATGCACTTTTGCTTCTTGGCTTACTCACTAGGAAGTTGGGTAGATTTAGTTATTCCAAATTCCCTTATCATATTAGCAGCTGATGCTTCATGCAGCAATCATCATATACAGTACACACTCAAAAGCACCATGCACAACGATTATAAATTATCCCCTGGACTTTAAAACGAAGTACAGCTCTACTGCATAAAACCTAATGACTGTACATATACTGAGCCAACATTTGTACACACATATATCAGACAAGTCAGACTATAAGTTGCTGCATACAAAACACTTCATGATATAGTACCTCCTTAATTTGCAGACCTCCTTAGTTTCACGTACACTCATTATCACAGGATGCAGGCTGTATCATTATCCCAAAGATAAATAAGCAATCTGTAGGGCGGCAGAGAATTTAACTACCATGCCCCAATTCTTTGGGATGAACCACTATACTCAATTGCAGACACAATGAGATTTTAAAATCAAGAGCGAAAATGTTTCGCTTTCATACATCTTAATCTATTCTATTGGTACAAAAAATATTACTTTTACAAATGTATTTATAAAGCACATTTAAAAACAACCCTTGTTGAACAAAGTTCTGTACAAACCAGAGCAGGTAGAGGAGACCATAATTAAGAGAAACTGTTTATTTTTGTTAGACTTATTATATTTTACATGTTCAACCATCCTCTAGATACAGTTTCTAAACTCAAACTAAGTGAGGATTTGGTGCTTTTCTCTGTTTCATATCACTGTAATCTGAATATCTTATCAGCGTGTATCTTTTGACATGTTGGTCGGACAAAAAGGACGTCAATTTGGACTGGAATTATTATGACTTTTTTACTCTTTAGACTCTTAGACATTTTATAGACCAAAAGATTAACCAATTAATCAGGATAATAACCGGCAGATTAATCAACAATGAAAACAATTGTTAGTTTCAGCCCTAATGCAAAAAACTATTTTGTACATAGATGATGGAGTGTACTGAGACACTTAAAAAACAGACTCAAAATACACACGCTTGCACAAAGATGTTATACATGCATGTACATGGCTGACTCTACATGAGTTACCACCACAGCAGCGTATGTTATGGTGGTTTCAGAATAATTGAAAGCTAAAGGCTGCAGGGTAGCATTTAAATGGAGGCAGACAAGCATACTGTAAGTTCTATATCCAGCATTCTGTTGAAGCATGTTATTTCAGTCCTTCTCTCTCTCTCTTTCTCTCTCTCTCTCTCTCTTTCTCTCTCTCTCCCTCCCTCTCTCACTAACACACACACACCCAGCATGAAAAGCAACTGATGTTCACAGGTGCCTGAACAACAGGCATTACGTGACGAAAGATGCATAAAATAGTTTAAGCAGAATCCTCAGTGACTGTCAAGAGATTGAGGGGAAGTTTCACTTCTGATTATACATGCTTTCTGCTACATACTAAGATTTCGATCACCATTATTAGCCTCAATGTTTGCTAAAAATAGCAAAACAATTTCACTGGCCTGGCATTTAACCAACATAATAGATATTAACTTTGTGGGCCGTCAAAATAAATATTTTTTCTATGCAGATCATAAGCTGGTTCTCTATGATTACTTATCATGATTGTATAACTAAGAAATATATTTGTGTGTGGTTTATCTGCAGCCCAGTGATTAAATGAACACTTGTTCCAGTAAAAACATACACCACGGAGTTAGAGGAAGCGCCATGCAACACTAATGCAACCTCAAAACAATTCTCTGCTGTGACCACTTCTAAAGTTTTAACTCAAGCAGTTTTCTCACATTCTTGGCAATACCTCAATATTTTGGATTGAGTATTTCCTCTAACATCATGTAGAACCAGTAACAATTAAACATATTCAGGGAGACTTTTACTTTTTGTTATTTCAACCCTACATTTTCAAATGAAGTCTTTTAAAGTGTTTCCTCTCAGCCTGGTGTATCAAAGATACTGTACTTTACAACCCTCCTGCTGTAGAGCTAGCCTCTGTGTTCTGTGGTAATTTCACATGCTCTTTTCTAAAGTCAGCATATGTTCGCCTGGTTACTGTACTGTTCTGTCGTGTATGGCAAGTTTCCATGTAGGTCTCTGCTAGATATTCTAAAATAGTTCCTTGGGCAATGCAATTTTCCATTTTAAGAGGCAAGAATTATGGTACCCTTCAAGAAAGCTGCTGAGGGAGGAGGGGGGGACTGTTTGATATTGCAGATCTTTCTGTAAACAAGCCCAGAGCCACACATTGAGCTTGTATAGAGCTGAAGAGAAGTCATGGTTGACATTATGTACAGACTTAAAATGTGAGCACAAATAGATCAACTTGGTGCTGAATTTGTGGTTGTTTAAGCAGCTCAAACAAAAAACATTTTCCAAACAAGTTCTCTTTTCTCTGCTCACGACTTTGGAAAGTTTCTGAATTCATCTGCAGCATATTTCCAAACTCTGCTTTGGCACACTCTCCGGCTCACAGACCTTCTTTCCAAGGCTGACTTTTGTTTAAACATAAGGCAGGCTGTGTTTTGCCAAGTGCCAACAAGATAAACTCAAGGCATCATATCACTGAAGTAAACTATTAACAGCACTGCATTGATACTGAGGGGTGTACATTAAGGAGAAGATACCCTTTTAACTGAAAAATAAGAGGCCCAAAACCAAAACATTCCCAAAGTTGCCCTGCCTGAAGTCATTGGGACAGCTGCAGAGGCCTCTATTAATATAACTCATAAAGAATGGAAACTTAAAATACACAGATCCTGTTTATGGTCAGGAAACTTCTGAGGGGAACACACAGAGTCAATAAACACTGCACTGCAGCATTGGTTTTTGTTCCTCTACAGGGTGGTAAGAGGTTTCCAGTGAGGTTAGAAATTTCAGGGACCCAGGGAGGAGTCAAGGTTGACCCATCCTGGGTACAGGGAACAAATATACATGGAGGAGAGAAGGTCATCGAGCCCCTCATAGGAAGGGATATCCTCAGGGTATCAGTGAAGCAGAATCTCTGCTATCTCTGGAGAAACTGCTAGATTATCATAACAATAGGACTGGGGCTGGCTGTATGTTCTGAATGCCTGACTGGAGATAAGCAAACTCAGCTCAATAATAACCTCGGAGGGATTTCTCCCTAAGCAATGACCTTGAGAGCTGAAATATGAGGCAGAGAAAGACTAAGCTTAGCCTTACTAGTTTAGGACACAAGGTCAGTTTTGGTTGGTCTTTGTCATTAGTCAAAGCAGTACAGATCTCCAACCTAAATATAGATTTCTACAGCTCTGCTCAGTCATTAGAGATTGGCCTTTCTCATCAAAAAACTTCACATAGTTATGGACTGCAAACACAGGCTAAAAAGGATCGGCATTTTAAGATTACTTTCAACATTTATTAATTTAATAACACATATTAAGTTGCCAGATAATAAATTGAAAGAATTCTCCTTTATAGACTGATGCTGGGAGAAAACTTCACTGCTGCTCTCGGCAATGCTCCATCTGGGACGAATACACTGAAAGCATTTATAACAAGATTTATGGCAACTAAGAGTTTCCATCCGTGGTTCCCTCTTCTTTTCAGGCAAGGCTGGAACTGGGTTTCATTATGCTTTCTCTAGTGTCTTCACAATAGATAACCTAAGTTAGAGTTAGACATATTGTTATCTATGATAAAGCTGACAACTTTGCCTCTTAGGAGAATGCCATTTGGAAACTTGGTGTTTTTTTTGTTACGCAGTTCCTACAAATAGATCTGTGACAACATCTGTGTAGGTGGGAGACTACATCTGTGAACCTCTGCCATCTGGGGAGCTGAGAGAAACCAGCAAGTTCAAAGTCCTATTCTGTGGAAAGTGAGGGGAAATTAAAACAACTTGAATAATCATGTTATAATAATCTGTCACCTCCCATGACTAACCTAGTCCCCTGGATCTCCACAGATGTGTGTGTCTGTATGTCTACAGGGCAGCTTTTGAGTTGCTGAGGAAGTCATTAAGTCACATTTTTGGTTTGGTGCAGACATCCCTTTGTGGTTCCTTGGAAATCAGTCCTATGGGATAAAATCCACATAAGCGATGCAGAGTTGCCCAGAGGTTTAAGGATTTGTCAAGCACACTGTCCAATCTCTATTTCCACACCAACTGTGCTCAAGATAGCTGAACTGACATGGGGCAAAAGTTCTTAATGTTGCTGATGTGAGTGTTATCACTAAAGGACGTGGCAGCAGGACTGTGGTTGTGTGTGTGTTACAAAACTTACGTAGAACAGCAATGAAGCTTTGGTTATCAAAAAGGACCCACAGGCCAAAGCCCATGATCAATGCTCCGAAGATCTGTGGAGGAGAGACAGAAAAGAATCAGGCACCAACTCTCAGCGAGTAAACATAGTGTGTCGAAAACAAAGGGCCTTATTTTTGCATCCTCAGTCTGTCACATCTGGGATTAATCAGATCTTAACTTTTCTCTCTGTCAGTTTCTCTCACAGTAACGTGCAGAAGGAACAAGGATGTGGTGAGAATCTGCTGTTTTTTCTCACAGTTTATTTCAATATCCTGTTCAGTGTTAAGAAAGGATAAAGAAGAAAAGAAATGATAAGAATCATTACCTCTAGACTGGAACATTTTGTCACTGGCATCTGAAAGCCTCAGAAAATGTTCAGTTTTACAGTTGTACCCTTTGTATGAGGTTATCAAGGACAGAACTTCTATATAATTAAGAAGGCCCTTGTTTAGAAGTTGTGGGGCACTGTAGTAGGGGAAAAAATCCATAGATGAGAGCCTCTGTTGATTCACCAGCTTCCCAACCTAGACCGCCACCCCTCCCCAACCCCACAACAGTCATTAGAGCACTGGTTAAAAGCTGTTCATTTAGAGGGACTGTTGAGCTCCCGGCGGTCATCATTAGCCCACCACTTCCTGGCTTTCCCCGAGCCTCCACTAGTCTACTCTGTCCACATGGACAAACACTGACACAGACACACACACGCTTCCTATTAGACACCAGTTGAGCGTTCACATCAAAAGGATCTGCGTCAGGTTTACGGCCACAGACTCATTGGAAAAGTCTGGACACCCTCGCAGATGCAGTTTTAACCCCTGGACTTTATGTTGTGCCCAGTGTGAGAAGAGGAGGAAACAAACAGAAACCATCTGCCTGTTTAGACCTGGCTGTGCTGAGGTATTCTGTAAAAGGGGTTTGCCCCAGGCAGAGTCACAGTGACATTTCCTTATGTATCTCCACTAATCTCTTGTGATATTTGAATAAGGACACTTGTTCAAATCAAAACTGCTGAAAGGCATCCGACAGCTCTCAATGTGTCATGAGTGTCTGATTCAGCTGAAGGAGCATAGCATACCTATCTTTCTATCTTAGGTAAATGCTTCTGACAAAGTGGAGGTCATGTGACATGACTGTGACAGTGCATGATATGCATTTGCAGTTACTGCAGCATGGCCACCAAGCATTGATGAAGAAATGTGATTACTTACAAAGAAGAGGAGGTTGAAGAGAAACAGGAAGTACTTGGTGACTGTAATGCATCCTTTCCCCATGGTTGTGCTTCTAGAAGACAAGTAAACAGAATGTATTGGTTAAATTAAACATCAGAAAAGATATAAAAAAAAACATAGACAGCTACACTTGAGATAGCCTTGCTTTAATAGTATAGTTATTGAGCCCCAGAACAAGGACATTGGAAAATCTGAACAGTTGGGTTCCTGATTAAACACGGCTTTAATCTTCAAAGCAACACCATCAGCCTAATTCATTTTCGACAGCCATGTTTCTCCCCGTCTTAAACAGACCAACCTGCTCTAATCCCCACTTTTACAAGACAACAATTGGCCCGTTGTATTAAAATATTAGGTTTTATGACAGCTTTTGAAAGCAAGTTTGTTAACAAATAAGAGTTCTACACGTGACAAACACAAGGAACCACCCTGGAGACGGATTGGAGTGAAGACCACCACAAAAGTGGAGACCATGACAGCATGTGGTTAGGCATGCATGTCATCAAAAACAGAAGGAAAGTAGACTGTGTTTACTAGCAACAACAAGCTTGGTTAGAAACACAGTGTTTTACGGTATTTTTTATGAACAATTTCAAGCCAAATGCACAAAAAGAGCATCCTATTTAAAACCACATCGGGCCATATTCAATAGGTCTGGCTGATGTCATGTGACCACATAACAGACTTCATAACAATGTTATGAATCTGACCCTCAAAGCAAGCTGACAACTAAAGCTGTCTGACATTTTAAGTTTGGTCATGTTACACTGATGTTTGCATTGTTTCACAATCAGTTAACCTATCACTCATCTACATTTGTGTTTCCCATGCACAGATGTACACAGATGTACACAGTGCACACGTCTACACATATGACTGCATTCAGTGACTTTGCTGTGGGTAACATGTTCCTTTGAGGAAACACCTGTAGGCCAGAACTGCAACACATATACAGTACAGTAGAGACACTTTATGAAACTCTCTGGCAACATGATTCAGCCTGGGCTCCACAAGTCCAAAGAAAATATTTACCAAAACCAGACCTTTTCCTTCACTCAAAATACAACCAGCCATTGTGGTTATTTGAGCAGTCTGAAAATACCCTATAAAGACAACTCCCCGTATATCAGATGACAAGCTGTTCTCTTCTCAGTGTCTCTTTTACATCAAAACTGTAGGTTCTTCTCAATGGCTGGGCCTATAATAAACTGTATTTAGTTCTATTTTAAACCATATACTACTTTTGGAAGCACAAACCCATGACCTTATGTTTACTGTGTGTTATTTTTCTGAATATAGGGGTACAGTTACTTACAGTGCAGTGTAAAATACTTACAATCATTTAAAAGATTATATGAGATAAGATATTTTACAGTGTTTTGTTTTTGTTCATATGTCGTTTTCATGTTCATACTTTTTTCATAATGGTGGATTTCTTGCTTAGCGATTTGACTTAAGACATGGACATGGCACTAAAAATTTAAATCGTGTAATGAGCAACGGCTGGCTGGGTAAGTTGAAATTAAGCACAATAAGTAACATCAGTTTCTACAAAGACTGATATGTTGTATTACTTAACTTGCAAGTCAGTCACATCTGATATCTGACAGACTTTCATCATCCCCTTCAGTCAGTCAGTGGTGTGTTTGTGTACACACACAAGGGAAATGTGAAGCAATAATACCCAAGCAATATGGTATGCATGACGGCAACAGGAAACAAATTGCAGCCCAATTTAAATATGAAACAGGGTATTTAAAAAGAACATCACCCATCTAAATATCGTATTATGCAGTCTACTTGCAGTTTATTTCTAACTACTGCTACTCTTACCTCTACCTGCTGATTAAAGCAACACTGTATTAACCCATTATTACCATATAGATTCATCTTCCCCCATAATACTGGTAGTAAAAACTTTTTTATCATCTTATATAACCTTCCCAATCAGATTCAAGGGTCAGTAGCGTCAATAAAACACATTAAAAAAAGTTTGGATTCACCAAAACTGAACTGCTGAGAACATCACAGGAGCACTAGTTATTTAAAGTAACCAAATGCAAACACTTGACAAGTAAATACTGTACATCCTTCTGATTCAACATGCTTGGCTGGGTTTCAGCTATATGTATCTGCACAGAAGGCCTGTCAAAAGAGGGCTTGGGTTAATATTACTCATACTTATCACCTATAGTATACTATCAACATACTTTATAACCTAAATACCAGCACAATTTCATGTTTACAAAACTGAACACAGTAAAAGCCAAAACCACACAGCTGATACCCCTGCAAAGTAGATAATCCTTAAAGGAGATTGTTGGTCTTTATGTCTAGATGGTGAGCAGACGTGCAGATTAAAAAAGGCTTAGTTATGACAAACATTGTTTGTTGACTGAGCCGAGCACCATTCCTAACAATGCCTCAAATGCTACTTATTATATTTTTCAAACAACACATAAAATAGGTTAACAGGCTCTGCCCACTTCATTTAGAGGGCAGCCAACTGAGTATAATGAGGTTAGCAAAAAAGCCAAAGCATAAATATATCCAAATCTTTTGCAGAAGTTTCAGCCCTGCAAGTTCACACATTGAGCACATACTGTAAGCTGTGGGGCTCTTTTAAAGGTTTATTATCACAGAACCTACCTAGACAAACCCAGTCAGACTGAACTCCCTGAAAGCGAATGACAAATCTGTTCCAAGGTGAAAATAAGGACTGGAAAGTGCAATGGAAATTCAAAGCAGAGCCAAACAGCAATTCCAAGTAACAGTGCCAATATGACCTTGTATAACAGCTAGCATTCATAATGCTTCTCAAATCAAAAGACAATGTAGTTAATCTGAAATGGTATAAACAGTAAGCTCAGGGTTATAGTGCAAAACCATGTGTAGAAAAGAAAAACTGTGACTTCATACAGCAGTTTTTTTCCCCTTTGTAGCCCCCATTTCCCTCTCTGTGGTTTGGCCTAAGGTGCGATCAGCATCAAACAGATATTGCAGTAAAGGAAGTGTTCAGTGTTTGTTTATTGAACAAAGGTGGTACAGTGTGATTATAAAGATAGCATTAGTGGCAGATGGCATAAACTGTCTATAATGGACCCAGCGTGGATCAACTCCAGCTCTGTTGTACACAGAAAGTCAGGCGATGTGCCAACCTCCATCCTCCTTTCATATTCATATATGACCCATTTAACACATCTGTGAAGCCATCGCTCTGGCATGAACCTGTCCACACCACCCTGCTACTAAAGCCCTTAATACCGTGCCAGAATCCTGCTTTAACATCGGTAACAATTTTGTTTACCCCTTCTGTACAGACAGGATGTAACTCATTGTCTACATTTTTACAACTAAACTTAAGGAAATTAGCCTTTTTGTTTGAGTAAGCTTAACTCTAAAACATCTACAGAAAAAAGCTATTAGTCTCAATAACTTCGAGGGGATGAAGAGGATTTCCCATTTTGTCATTGTTACCATGTGACATAAAAGTGGTGAAATACCCCACAAGACTTTAGAGCCAGGTAACTTCCCATCATCCAGTGGAAATGATGAAGCATGTGTGACAACAAGACTAAACAGAGCACAACTTGTTGTGACTACTACTAGATATTACTGATCATCTTATCTATCTATATGTCTATATACAAAAAACAATGACCTATTACAAGCTACCAGAGGCAAATTTACTTAAAATTGCTTTCTCGGTCTGGTCAGCTGAAACCAAGCAGCACCAAAGTATTTATTTTATGATATAAAACAAAAATAAGGAAAAGATGTGGCTTTGGTCACAGGATGAAAACATCAGCTCTCAGCGACAGGGGCAATCTTTTGGACTTTGTTTTTAGCTGACTCTGCAATGGATTCAGCAATATGGGGCTTCATTCACTCATAGCCTCACAGCACAGACTTCACAGCATCAAACCAACTAGATTTTTTTTCTCTTGTGGCTTTTCAAGATACATCACGTGTTATGAGAGTAAACGTGTCCCATTGAATAATGATGATGGCCAATTTGCAAAACCCAAAAGCAAACTTCTACATAATAACAAATTATGTCACTGAATTATTGATGAATTAGATTTTCTGCAGTTTGAAACTTAAGTGGAGAGAAAAACAGAAAGTTGAGAATGAATTTAGCTTGTTATGCTGCCTACGAATATATATGCATTTCTGCTTGTAAACCGCAACATTTCTAAAAACCTTGCACCTAAAGAGCACTGTGGCAATGGGATGTTGCCTTCAGCGTGGTGCGTAGGCCCCTTACTCATTGCTTCATTTCTGCCACAGGACTAGCTCTGTACAGCTCACAAGCTTTTTCCTGTCAACCTGGTATACAAAACTAAACATCAAAGTTGATGGCTCCATCACTAAGGAAAGGTCTCTGCGGAGGTTATCCTGAGGCATTGTGTATTTAATATGTGGGCTAATTCTTTAATAATAATGACATGAATTAAATAATGACATTGCACTATTTATCTAATATCTATATGCTGGACCCATGAAAGTAAAGCTAATCCTAGAGGTACTTCATATTATGGTCCCTTGATATATGCTTTAACATTTGCAGACCAACAGCAAAGAAATAACCAGGCTTGGGGAGTAGCAGAGTTAACGTTACATGTAACTGAGTAATGTAATCAGGATACAAAAAAAAGGTACTGACATCCAATACAGTTACAAAAAAAGAGATGATAAGATGGGTGTAAAAATTGGGATTATTAAGCAGGATTACAATTTTAAAATACATCCGTTTTTCTTTAAAAAATGTTTGACATTTTTTATGCCAAAAATCTTTCAATTCATCCTGTTTCCACTTTCTTTTCAACGGTTACAATGTTTGTTTTAACTCCCTTGCTTCAATACTTCTTATTGACATTTCTTTTCTCTTGTTTTCATTTGCTTATTTTGTGTTTAGGCAGTCCAAAAGTAACAGAAAATAACCTGTAAATAACTTAAAATCATAATACTAATGCCACACATCACATGTTAACTGTTAAACCAGTTTAGAAATGACTGCATATGTATTCCCTCAAGGTTGAGCCGACAGGTTGCTACTGTACAGTAGCGGTAATAATACTGTAAGTTACTTTTCTAAGTTATTAGCACTTCTTTCGCAAACACCGGAGGATGAACTGACAGACCAGTTGACCAACTGACACAGTTTCGTGTTACTTATTTCAGGGACTTTCACACATTACAACGGTTATCGAACCAAATCAGTTAGGTTCCTAACGTTAACTGTTAGTTTAGTCTTTGTCGAACGTTTACGTCAACCGTAAACTAACGTCTTTTCAGTCAACGCAGCGAACGCTAACCAACGGCTGTGACATCTTAGCTAACGTTAACTGTCTGCTATACTTTAGTAGACATTTTATCATTATCAACATGTTTGATCTTTTTCTGGAGTTAGACAGACAGTTGTCTAGCTACAGACAAATTAACAACGCTACCACATATTCTGGCACAGCTAATGTTATATTACTGCTAGCTAGATATATGTATAAACACGGTTAACGTAGCGAAAACTTACTTTTTGACTTCTTCTCCAACGGCTGTAAGTTACCTGAGAGGTCGACAGTCTTCTGGCTCGCTTTCTGTGTGACTAACCCGTGGCTGGTGGGAAACAAGAACTGTGGCTGTGTGTGTTTTGTGTGTCTGGGTTAGTGTTCACACCCACACACACAAAACACACAGTGGGGCAGACACTTAACCCTCTCCTGTCCGGCAAAGACCAGCAAACCGTACTGAGTAGACGGCCACATGTGACTGTAAACTGAATATCTGTGTTTTTTTAGACTAGCCACACAGGTGTATTTTGTTATGATAACCTGCAGAGGTGGAGGAAGTATTCAGATCCTTTCCTTAAATAACACTGTAAAAGTCCTGCATTGAAAAATGTAACTTAAGTAAAAGTATGTCAGTGTCAGGAAAATGTACCTAAAGTATTAAAAGTAGGCTACTCAGTAGTGCATCTTAATAAGGGATATATATACACCAATACATTTTGATGATTTGTAGTGGTGTATATTTCTGAAACTGAAACTATTAGTCAATGAATTGCTCTACAGAAGGTTAATGTACAAGAATTTTGATAATGAATTAATAATTTTAGTCTATTTTAGAATTTTGCTTCTTTTCTGTCATATGTGACTGTAAACTAAATATCTGTTTTTAGAGAGAGGCCACACAGGTGTATTTTGTGTTTTTATAGTTTTACTATTTTATGTTGTTTTGCTGCTTTTATGTTTTTATGTAGTGTCTTTGAGTATTTAGAAAAGTACTTATAAATAAAATGTATTATTATTATTATTATTTTCTGATGATAATTAGCAGAGGTGGATGAAGTATTCAGATTTACTTAAATAACACACTGTAAAAGTCCTGCGTTGAAAATGTTACTTCCTATGTCAGTATCAGGAAAATATACTTAAAAGTATTAAAAATAGGCTACTCAGTAAGGCTTTACAGTTGCGATTATTTTTCACAGATATTACGATATGATTCACAATTAGTGGGGGAATCATCATTTTTGCATGACAAATTTAATTTTCATCACTATTAAAATCATGATGATGGGACATTTTTGGGGGTTTGTAGCAAACCGTTTTTTTTTTAAACTAGAGAAAAGTATTTGTGGGCCAAGGCCTCTCTGCAGCACTACAGTATCTCATTATAATGCAGTTTTTCCTCATTTCACCTTAAATTGCAGCCTCTGCAGCAAATCCTCACATTTGATAAGCTGGGACCATCACATATTTGGCATTGTGACTACCAATAACTTAAATGACTGATTAAATTATGAATTAATTTTCTCTTGATGAACTTACCAGTTAATCAAATCATTTCAGCTGTACTTGTATATACTGTTGGGTGGTTTAATTTATAAAAAAACAACAACATATTTCATCATATAGTTGCTGGGTAAACCAGAAACCATACCAGGCTGCATTTTAAACGACCCACTGTAAGCCATTCTAAAATGCTGTTTACAACCATGCCTTAAGAAATAAACCAGGACTAAATATATTGAGTGGAAAGTGTGGGGAGAAGGCATACACAGGGACACATGGAGCTTTTTGCCTATAAACCCCCCAACCACACACACATTTCCTGTGCCACACAATCCCCCTTTTCACCCTTTGCCCAATGTGTGTGTAAAAGGAGCGAGAGAACTAGGGATGGTGAATGTTAGGCAGGAGTGTGTGCGGTAAACTACACCAGGTAGATTCTGCGCAGACCTGAAATAAATGATCGTGTTGTGACATGTTCAACACTTTCCAAACAGAAAACACCAAACAAAGGATGCAATTACGTAAGAGCTCTCTGGCTGATCTGTTGAGACATGTTCTGGTTTGTGGAGCTTTGTTGAATTTAACATGACATTTTAATCAGTGAGTGTGTACCTATAAAATTAAAGTCTCACCCTTGCTGCTGGGCATCACTTATACAGCAAGTTTGAAGCCTACTCAGGCTCATCTCACACAGAAAACATGATTGGAATTGCACTTCTCAAGCATTTCTCAACCTTATGATTCTCAGTGTGAGTTAGGTATTTCAGTAAGTTCGAGGTAGTTGATTTGTCAACTTTTTTTTATTTAAGAGTGATTAATGCATTTTAATTTGAACACATTTTGAAGTTGTGGGCTCCAGTATCCAGCAGGAAAAGTATATTTCTGAAGCAGAAACTATTAGTCAATTAATTGATCTACAGAAACTATTTTGATAATCAGACATTTTTGTCTATTTTGGATATTTGCTTCTCTTTCTTTCATATGTGACTGTAAACTGAATATCTTTGGGTTTTGGATAGAAAAACAAGCAATTTTAAGATATTACATTGGGCTTTATGAAATTGTGACTGAGTAATTCAGATTTTTCACCTTTTTTTTATAGATCAAACTATGAATTGTTTAATTGAAAAACAATCAGCAGATTAATCAATAATGAAATAATACTTTGTTGCAGCCACTATACTCCATACCTCCATCAAAAAGGACGAGGAACAAAGAATTAAATCACCGTTGAAGTCTTCAAAATAAACAATAGTGTCCTTTATTTCAAACTAAATTGTGAAAATTCATAACAATAAATTTTTGAGGTACAATATAGCACATATATACATAAAAACACAATGCTACAACTTGAAACAGTTTGACCTGGTATGCTATTCACAACAGTACAATATATGTTCGATCTACATCAGAGGGAATAAATAGCTCAACTCACCATTCCTCTAAAATTTCAAGGACTCAGCTCACCGATGTTTTTGACTAATTTACGTCAGAGAACCAGGAGGATGAAAGAGGCGAAGGGAGGCAAAGAAATCGCTTCTTCGCCTCCCTTCTTCTGCTCGTCCCCCCAAAACTGCCCATCTCTCCTAAAATAACCTGCTTAACAGACCCTTTTCATTTCACCAGGATGATGATTTGAGGCCTGTAGTATCGACGGAAATGGAATGACATTTTTCTTGAACTCCATAATTACCATGCTAGTCAGGACAGAGCAGTAGGTTGGGGCACACAATGTCACTCTGGAAAGCTGCATCTAATTAAACACTGGAAAAGGGATAATTACAACTTTTCAGGAGTCCGGGAGACCTCACCCATGTTTCCCATTCCCTATCTGAACTGCAAGCTCACCCAAGTAACAAGCACATCTGCCTTCAGTGCCGGACTCGCAACTGCAAACCCTCAATCACTCTGACCTCAGGACCACTCCCTTCTGGGCCAGGACTGAACGTGGTCATTTCCAACAACATGGACCACCTTTGGAGGAGACCTACAGTATGTTTCTTGTTCGACTTAAAATAATGTTTCAAGTTAAAATTACATAACGATTCAACTGTCTTTAGGGTGTCTTTTTGACTGGCCATAGGTGGATGATGTGCAGAGATCAGAGTTGACAAATTAGCATTTACTCTAAAACAGTGAGCTGAAATGTGACATACCCGAGGGCGTGCCAAGTATCAGGAGGTAGAAAATGTACTAAACGTATAAATTGGGTGAAAACTGTCAAATGTTGGGCAATATCTGTTTTAAAGCACATTTATTTTTACTGCCTTGTTAATTAAAATGGTCCTGTTTTTGGCTGTTTGCCATTTTTAGCATCCATTCACCACCATTAACGTCTGTATTTATCTGCTTTGTGTTGTATTGGTGGCAGCTTGCTACACAGTTTGAGCTATTTCTTTTGCTGGATTATATTGCATGCATGACGTCAAAAAACACAAATGTCACTTAAATAGGTACAAAATAACACACGGCAAAAGAAAGATCAACCTTTGAAAATCATTTCACTTATACTGAACAAGTTCCCTGTTCGGTTCACAAGAACACCACGTCATAGTAAATACTTTTATTTACATATATACAAGAAGTAGGATGCAGTGTTGATGACCTTTCTTTTAAGTAGTTTTAAGGCAAGGCTAAGGATATGGTGGGTGTAAAAAACTGTGCTACATCACTGAAGAGGAACCAGCTCGGGGTTTGTTTGCCCTACACACTGACATGCTCGGCTTGTGACACTAGTTTTACAGTAAAGGTTATAATGTTAAATACTTTCTGCAAGATTGCTCAGGCTAAAGTCCTGCCTACCAGTGCACGCACACGACAATGAGAGAACTACATTGCTTCGCTTCTATGAGTCAGTTCATGTGCATTTATCAACATTACTAATGTATTAATCTCAGTAGTGAAAATACTCTGCACAAAACTCCTATTCACTTTGGTAGAACTACTTGACCTCGAAGAATAAAAAAAAATATTTCTGTCCCTGAAAAATGTTTAGATTCATCTTTTTTTGGGGGGGTAGTCTAAATCTGAATATGATTAATGGGCATGACTGAGAGTAAAAACTGACCATTAGGAGTTCTCGCTTATCTGACTGCACCTGAATCTTACACTAAGCCCAGTTGATGCTTTTTCCATTCAGTGTGTTCACTGGGGAGCTGTCAGAGAAGTATGCAAGAGCACAGATATTCAGGCTTCACTTTAGCATACATAAAGTATGAGTTAACATCAAACAGAAAACACATTATAACACAAACTCTTGGTCCTTGAGTGTGATTAAGAAGCTGTGTCAAGATGCAACTTATTATCAGATAACACTAAATACTGAATTTGGAAATCATGTAGCTGTACATGAACAACATCGCTGGAAATTACTCTGTACTGTACATATTAAATCATATAACTAGGTGACGCCAAGAACACAATGTACTACAAACTGCAAGTTCCTTCTTTATAATAACAGCACTCAGAACTGAACAAAAGAGGAATGTGTGTCAAGAGGGACTTGACCTCACACCCCACTGAAAGAGTAGTTCACTTTCACTATGAGGTTTCTTGTTCTTGTTGTAGAGTCTGGGATGTGTGCTCATCTGTTGAATACTGGGGGTTATAACAGGCTAGGTCCCATGGAAGGGGGCAGAGTGCATCCAGTAGCAAAGTAATGCTCCAAGCCCCAATCAAATAACCAAACCTTCTGACCCCACGTTTGTGATGTGTGCTCAGCTGTCCCCTCCCTGGAAGTATCGCACAGTCAGCTCAGATCTTCTTCGGCTTACGGCCCAGGTGGTAGTAGTAAGCCATGGTGACCACCAGGAAGAGCACTCGACTGAGGAGCAGGAGCATGGCAGCATTGGGCAGGATGCCGATCTCCATTAAGGTGATGGATGTCACTGAAACCACA